TTTTTTTTTTTTTTTTTTTTTTTTTTAAGTATTTTGTGCAGCGTCTCTAGTTCTCAGTGTGAGGGTTGATCTGAATCACCTAGTCTCCTGTTCACAAAAGAGTAAGTTTAAGTGTTTTTATTTTTATTTCATTTATATTTCTCCATTTTATTCCCTATGTCTCTCCTGGTTTCCAACAGTGTGTAAGTACTTCTTTCCTGAGCTCACGGTTTTTTCCTGCTGTTATCATCGCTTCCTTGGCTTCTTGCATTTTGTTTTGTGGACTTTTCTTATGGAGGCAATTGAGTCATTAAATTTTAATATTCATGGTGGAATGTTTTCATCTGTTCTATTGCAGAATTTTTCAAAAGGTGAATATCATTTAAGTTTTGCTGATTTTTTCTTACACTTATAGGATCTTTTCATTAATCATGATGGTCCCCTTTCCTTAATTACTTGGTATTAAATGATTTGGTGTACCACTGTGTACAGGAAATATGGGATTGGGGTCAGGGACAGGAAAGGGATATCGTAGACTTCCAGGCTTCACAGTCATTCATATTCTGCTGATGCCAGAGGCAAGCTGCCTCATGTAAATGTGGCTCATTGCTGTGATGCGTCGTGTAACCCTGCTGCCTCTCCTCTGAACCAAAACAGGTCCATGAGGGCTTCCATAGCCAGTTGTGCGCTCTCTAGTTCCCTAATTAATTGTTACAATCAGAGCTTTTGCACGTTAGGGGGAACCCCTCCCACTCAAAAAGAGGGTTCTTTGCTGGACTTTATGAGATCTGTTAACTGTAGACCGCTCCTGACTCTGCACTTCCTCCTCTCACTTTTTGAAACACCACACTACTTCTGCTAAATCTCAGCTCTTTTGGCAGCCCTTGTGTCTATTTTGACAGCTGAAGATCATATCTGTCTCCTAGTTTCACTGGAAATAAAATTTATGGAACTTGTTAGTCTCTGTTGCTTGTGTACAATTGACGGGGAGATGGAGAACAGTATTGATTTAGGCAGCCATGTTCCTACTGAAGTCTTCTCCAAACTGAAATTTAACGCAATGGTCACTTTAGCTCTCAGCTTGTATAGGTCCATCAGGATGCTTTCTGTCTTAGATGAACACTCGTAACAAATGAACACTTGGAAGTTATGAAATATCAATATAGATCAAATAAGCAATGGTTAGTACATCTATTTGGTGTCATCCTGATAGGCGGGAGTCATACTCTTTTTGTTTACATTCTCTTTGCCACAGTGCTGCCTGTGTCACATAACCAAAAAAAAGAAAAAAACCTGTTGCTGTCGAGTCAATTCCAACTCATAACGACCCTAGAAGACAAAGTAGAACTGCCCCATAGGGTTTCCAAGGAGTGCCTGGTGGATTCAAACTGCCAACCTTTTGGTTAGCAGCCGTAGCACTTAACCTCTACACCACCAGGGTTTCTGTGTGTCACATAGCCACCTCTAATAGCAAAGGAGGCTGGGAAGTTGAATATTTAACTTTACTAGTCTCTTTATTAGAAATGGCCGGGGATGAGGGTCGGATATACGTGTCGAGTTTGCCAATCAGTAGTATCTTCCACAATTTCACTAGTAAGCAGAAGCCCTGGCACCAGTTCAGGCTTGTTGATAAAAATCTCTTGAAACTGTGACTAATTGTCCAGAGACCTGGGTTCTAATCCCACTTCTGCTGCAAGCTGGCAGTGTGACCTTGAGCAAACCACTATACCTTGGCCTCCATCTGTCAAGTAAGCAGGTGGTAGAGGATGATAGGATTTGATGGAAAGCTCTCCTGCAGTAGCTCAGAGACTTGTCAGGGATGTGTCAGTTTACTTGTCAGGAGCTGAGAGCACCATTTGGAGTACAGGATAGGAACAGGTATTTATAGTGAGAGGGAGAAATAGGGCAAGATTCTAAGGAAATCCTCTAATGCTTCTCAATCTTTCTATTCCATCACAGACAAACTTTAATGCAAGGCAGGACTTCTGGGTCAGGATTTTCTCTTGATATTAATGTAAATTATACATATGTGTGTGTATGTATACACACACACTCATCAACATGTTGGTTTCAAAGATCAGGTTGTTGTGCAAAAATTGACCATTCGACAGCCCCCCTGGCTGTTGATGCTTCTCTTACACCATCCTCTCACCCTGTCTCCCTAATTCTTCCCCACACTGCCCCAGAATAATCTTTCTAAATCATCCTAAAATACAGTTGTAATTGACCTTGTTTCTAGCTGTTGTCCTGCCACTGACAAGTTACATAAACTTAAGTTAGCAAGTCACTTAACCTGTCTGAGTGTCAGTTTTTCAGTCTATGAAGTAAGAGGATTGGGTTGCAGCTTGTTTTTAAGTTTCAGGACTTTCTCTGTCACTCCTCTACTTAAAATTCTGAATGTTTCATGTTTTCCCTGGAACAAAGTCCAAATGCATCACCTGATCTGTGAATCTCACCCAGTTCACCTTCTCCCCAGCTGTCTGTATGTCCCATCACAATTTATCTTTCTTCTACACACAACAGACCTTCATGGCTCTGTGTCCTCATTCGCCTATGAGACTCTTTAAGCTCTCCTAGTTGACTGAGCATCGTGAGTATTGTGTCTTATCCACCTTTGTGTGTCCAATGTATGGCACAGAGCCTGTCACATGGTAGTTTCTTTGTTTCCCCCTAAATTTCATTTATTTTATTGTTGTTGTTGAGAATATGCACAGGAAAACATACACCAATTCAACGGTTTCTACATGTACAACCTAGTGACATTGATTACATTCTTGGAGTTGTGCAACCATTCTCACCCTGTTTTTCCAAGTTGTGCCTCCCTCATTAACATAAATTTACTGACCCCTAAGGTTCCCATCTAATCTTTCAAGTTGCTGTTGTCCATTTGATCCCATATAGATAGTTCTTAAAAGAGCATAATGCTCAAGGCAGGCCTTTTTTTTTTTTACTAGTTAAGCTAAACTATTGTTTGGTTTTAAGATGACTTTGAGAGATATTTCAGTTTAAGTTTTAAAGATTATCTCAGGGCAATAGTTTTAGGGGTTCATCCACTCTCCATGCTTCCAGAAAGTCTGTAGAGTCTGTGAGGATTTAAAATTCTGTTCTGCAGTTTCCCCCTTTTGATAAGGTTTCTTCTATGGAATCTTGGATCAGAATGTTCAGTAATGGTAGCTGGGCACCATCAAGTTCTTCTGGTCTCTTTGGCAAAGGATACAGTTGTTTATGGAGGCAATGAGCCACACATTCCACATCCTCCTTCTATTTCTGACTCTCCTTCTGTTGCTCCGGGTAAATAGAGACCAATTGTTGTGCCTTGGATGGCCACTTGCAAGCCTTTAAGACCCTAGGCACTACACAACAAACTAGGAGATAGAAGAGAAGCACCAAACACGTTATTAGGCCAATTAACTGGGCTGTCCCACAAAACCATGACCATATAACTCCAAACCAAGGAACAAAATCCCATGATATGTTTGGTTGTACATAAGCAGCTTCAGCAGCTACTCTTGTTTGTTTGTTTGCTTTTGGTCATTGTTGTAAATACTTCTATCACACAATTTTTGCCAGTTCAACTTTTTTACTGGTGTACAACTTCTTGACAGCAATTACAATAATTGACTGTGCAACCCTACCCTTAATCATTGCGATTTTTCCATCACCACTAACCCCCCCTTTCCTCTTCCCTCCTACCTCTGGTGACCACTAATAAACTTTAGTGTCTATTCCTTTGCCTTTTCTTGTCTTTCTATGTAAGTGAGGTCATACAATATTTGTCCTTTTGTGATTGGCTCATTTTGCTCAGCATAATGTCTTCAAACTCCATACTGTAGCATGTATCAAGACTTCATTTCTTCTGCTGGTTGAGTATTGTTCCATTGTATGTATGTACCACATTTTGTTTATCCATTCATCTGTTGATGAGCATTTAGGTTGTTTCCACCTTTTGGCTGTTGTAAATAGTGCTACAGTGAACACTGGTGTGCAAGTCTCCGGGCTCAAATCTTTTTTATACCCGGGAGTGGAATTGCTGGGTCATATGGTAGTTCTATTTTAAGTTTTTTGAGAAACTGCCACATTGTTTTCCACAACAACTGCACCATTTGGCATCCCTACCAGCAATGATAAGGATTCCAATTTTCCTACATCCTTGCCAACATTTGTTATTTTCTGTTTTTGTTTTTTTATCTTACCCATCCTAGTTGGAGTGAAATGGTATCTCATTGTGGTTTAATTTGCATCTCTCGCGTTGCTATGAGTTGGAATCAACTGATGGCAATGGACAACGTGTAATGGTAATGATGCTGAGCATCTTTTCATGTGTTTGGTAGCCATTCGAATGTCCTCTTTGGTGAAATGTCTATTCAGGTCCTTTGCCCATATTATGATCCAGGTTATTTGTCCTTCTGTTGTTAAGTTGTCAAAGTTTTATATATATTTTGGTTATTAGATTCTTGTCTTCTTGTTGGATATATGGTTTCCGAAGATATTATCCCAGTCGGTAGCTTGTCTTTTCACTTTTTTTGGTAAAGTCTTTTAATGAACAAAAGTTTTTAATTTTTATGCGGTCTCATCTATTTATTTTGTCTTTTGCTGTTTGCTTTTGTTGTTATATTAGATATCCATTATTGAAAGCTGGGTCTGACGGTGTTGCCCCTGCTTGATCTTCTAAGAATTTTATGGTTTTAGTTTAGGTCCTTAATCCATTTTGAATTTGTTTATGTGTATCATGTGAAGCGTAATTCCTGTTTCATTTTTCTGCATGTGGAAATCCAGTTTTCCCGGCACCATTTATTAAAGAAACTCTTCTTTCCCCATTGATTGGACTTAACACCCTTGTCAAAAATCAGTTGACCATAGA